CTAGAAAATATAGAGAAAATGAACGAATTAACACTAATAAAAAATTATTATTTTTTAATTGAAATTTTCCATTGGAAATGTTTAGCGACTATTTTCATAGATAATTTGATTGAATCAGTGAGAAAATAAAAAATGAGTGCTATTCTCAGTATTTCAATGAGAATTTATTTTCCATCATGTGTTTTTTCCAGTGAGCTGGGATTGAAAAATCATATTTTATAACACAAATTTCTCATTGATTCATAGGAAAAAAAATCTTTATTTTTAGTAGTGATTTTGTTTTTATATAAAAATATTTTCTTGAAAAATAATATTTCTTACTTATCCTTTAGTGTCCGTTAAATCAACTAGAAAATATTATTCTAAGAATATTTATATGTAATCTAGCAAAATACTATATGGACGAGATGGAGTTACGATTGGGGTTAATAGGTGACGAGGGCTGGGACAATCAAGTAGTGAGGGTTGATTAGGATGTTGGTTGGGTGGGGAAAAGACAATGAATTGAACTTGAAATGTCATGTATGAAGCATGTTTTTCTTAGAAAGTCATATTTTTCATTTTAAAAAAAACTTATTTTTCTAGAAAAAATATTTTCCATAAATGTGAGATTCACTTAGTAAAATTGAACGTGAAGTTCTTCCTCTATCATCCAAGGTTGCAACTTGCACGTGGAATGACTTTGATATCACGATCTATATCAATCCAATCCATTAGTAATATTATTTACTTTAGATTTAGACCTTAAAACGCGTCACGTTCGAGACTTATTTTCTTATATACCTAACCCTAGGGTGTTACAAAATTATATTGATAATATAAATTATTTAAAACTAATAATGAAAAATAAAACAATGAGAAATCAAAACTGGGCGGCTACCCTCCGACGCGTGCATTTAATTTGGGCTAGAAAACATTTTTTTAAATGTAAATATTTCCATAAAAAGAAAAATATATATATAAAAAAATAAAGACTTACATTTTGGACTTGTTTCATGTGTTTTTTTTCTAAATTAAAATATTTTTATGAAGTGAACTAGTACGTCAAAACTTTTTGGTGTCTCATAAAAAGTCAATTAAATTAATTATACGTCTAATTAATTAAAAATTTCAGTGAGGATACTAATCCGAATTTTCATAATATGCTTCGTATGTTCTCAGCACACATGTACTATGATAATTAAACTTAATAAAATTTAGTTTTTGAATTGTTTCTAGTTATGTCCTTTTCTAACCTTACTTAATTTTTAATTAGTAATTTGATGGGAATATTCTTGTGTGAACAAAAAAAAAAAAAAAAAACATTAGAATTATTTGAGATAAAGCTTTTGCTATTTTTGGTTAGTTTATTACTCTTTTCACACTAATTTGGGCATCTAATCTTAATTAATGAGTTAATCCACGTGAAATTTGGGAATTTCTGGCAATAATTTCCACACTATTGTCTCATTGAGAACTTTAAAATATAATATTTTTATTATGAATTCAAGCTGATGTTATTTTTCATCAATTTTTGAAATTGTTCTTTCCAAGGGTTTATTGGAAATAAGCTCTCTACCTCTAAGATAGTACTAAAGTTTGCGTACACTTTGTTCTACGATGGATATGTTATTGTTTTATGTGTTTGGTTAACAAGAAAATGGTATATTAGTGATCTACCATTGAAAATAAAATGCACCACTTCCAACTTTAAATTTGTTGTATTAAGATCAAAGTTAATTTAATATGAGTCATTAGAAGAATTTTTTTTTTATATGAGCCACTAATTGTATTAAGATCAAAGTTAATTTTAAAATAAAAATTATTTTTGCTTAGTTAAATTAGTGTGAATCAGCCATCAGGTTGTTGAGAATGATTAATGGGTTTTTAGGCTAAAAAATTATTGAAGACGGAGTAAATATAATATTGACAAATTTTATATTTGAAAGGAAGGATAGAAATTAAAAAATAAAATTTTTATATAAGACAACTAACAAGTTCATATGTTACTCGTACTTTTGAACTTAGACTATGATGAATATGATATCAAAGCTGACTCAAAGTAGTACGATTGTGGATAAACTTCGGAGTTGAGTCACTAAGGTATTATGACGTCCACGACAATGGAGGGAGGTGGAAGACAGTAAAAAAATTTTTGACAAACTTCTAGATTGACAATTATTTTTAAAAGGGGTGCACATGAAGTAATGTTTTTTTTGTACTAGTAGTTTACCATCTGTGTATAATTTCCACTCTAAAACTCGATTAATTAAATTCACATTGAATTCATAAGACGATTTTATTTGTAATGTTCAACTTCGATATGAAGTAGAGTTGCGATGGTTAGAAATGTGTAACTAAAATAGACCTTCCCTGCAACTACATGGTATAATTAAGTGGAAATTAATAATCATATAGGTTTATATCTTAATTTTTTAATGTGCAGCATCCATTAAGAATAAAGTTGAAGTTTGACAGAAAAGATAGAATTAAGATAATATTTTTCTCATTATACCTACCAAACTAGTGATTTGGAACATAATAGAATGAAAACTATCTCTAAGATTTAATTCCCACCCTTCAACAAATATACGTTTAATTTGCTTGTTACAAAAATAATTTAAAGTTGTAGACAATGATTTTTTTAAGAATGAAAAATATTTTCTATTTTTTTTAATTTATGTTTTGATAAGAATATTTTTGTACAACTCTCTGTCCAAATTTATATTTTAAAAAATTTAACCTTAATCACAGTTAATGTATTTTTTTCAAGTGAATTTAAGTCCAATATTATATTTGACTTTCCCTAAGTTTACTTAATTTGTGAACATACCCGTTTGGATTAACATATTGTAGATAATTGTTAAGTTTTAAGGTGCTGAAAAATATTATTTAAGTGTTAAAACTAATTTTATTAATAAGTAGTTACGTATAAAGATGGAAGTATTGAAATCGATAATAAGTACTAGCTGACATGTTTGGTAAAAGTGTTTATAAGCTAATTTTAAATATTCTTAAACTTTTTACAAACAAATACAAATTTAATAGCATCTTTGTAAAGAAAATAAGTAATGACGGATATGAAATGAATATAATCAAACACGCAAATAATAAAAAAAATACATAAGTTAATTTAATCAACTTATACGCTTAGCTAAACAACTTAGTAGTCCATAATTTTTAGAGTGGTTGACCTTACGAAAAGATGCTCCTTGCTATTGGTTGAAACCTTGAGATATTATTTTGCAAATGTTTTTACTATTTCAGATGAAAAAGTCCAAAAAGATAAAAGAATATATTAACAAATTAAATGTTAGACCAATGAAGAAAATTAATTATAGTGAAAAATGTTAAAGATGGGAAAGATTATTTTTTATCTCCTAGCTAGTTACTGTTATTGGCTTGGCATGGCTGAAATAATTAGTTAAGTGGACAAGGATCAACAATTCCCATTGGTGCACAAGTAAATTTAAAACTCTTAACAACTTATAATAATTGTTAATTTAATAACCTCATGTCCCTGTGTAATTTGACCATCAAGAAGTGAGCAATGGAATCAATCAAGTTAATTTCTTGACTAATTATGGAATCAATTAATCCAAAAATAAATAAATAATGATACTAACTAGGGTTTCAATGGAGCGGTAAATATATTTTTGTTTTTAATGAGAATTCAGAGGACTCAGTTTCAAGTTCCACCGGATACAGAGTCATTTTGCATGTTAGGAGGCTCTTCACCCCTCTAATATAAGACTTTCTGACGGAAATTCAGATTTAGTCGGGTCCAATATAAATATCAAGCACCAAATAAGAAAGTAAACTAGTGATGTCTTTTTCTTTTCACCTCCCAATTAAACTTCATTTTCATGTTCTTGTTAAGGAGCAATTAAGAAATATTCAACATTTCTTAGTTTTGTCAGAAATACTCAAACCAAAGAAAAAAGGAATCTTTCTTCTTGTTTTTTTATGGAAAATATTGTGCTCCAATAAAAGCAAAAGTGGTGTGAATTATTCAAGAATTGAAATCCATTTGCTTTATAAAAAAGAAAATTAATAAATTTTATAAAATGGTTTTTTGGGATCTAGCCAATTATCTTAAATCATAGAATATCATTGAAAAATAGAAATCTTGGATTATCAAAAAGATTCCTTGCACAAACCAAAAACTAGGGAACTTGAGTATAGACACTAAAGATCCAAACTTTTGAGTTTATTCATAAATATTGAATGAATTTCTTAACATAAATACAAGATCTTGCCAAAGTTATGCTCGGGAAAGAGAAGAAAAGAACTAATGACATCATCCAATCCAATTGCTTTTCTCGAGATAGTAGTAAGAAAGCAAAATCTTTTGTCAAATCTGTAGCTAGAACTCTAACTTCCCTTTAAGTGCGAGTCTTTTGTTGAAATGAAATGACTTTTTTTTTAATCTCGCAATATATGTATGTTATATATTGAGCTAGGTTAATCCTAAAAATAAATCTAGTATAATTACTTACTTATCTATAAAATGTCTTAAAACGAAGGTGTTGTGGGTGTCAATGTTGGAGGGTGGGGGAAAAGGGGATTTAAGCCTTGAACATATTATTAATTTGTGCTTATTCAAAGTTCTTTTTTTAATTATATATATTTTATATTCCTCTATATTTTGTTACTATTATATCATGTGATGTCAATTTTTTGCAATTAAGAATTTTGAAAACCAAATAGGAAAAAAAATAATTTGAAAACTTCTTTGATGAATGTACCCTCGACACATCACATTAGGCAAAAGATTCCTTTATTATTGGCATTGAGCAATCATTTTTTTAAAAATTAATTGTTTAAAAGTGTCTACTAGGTCAAGTTGCATCTACTCCTACTTTGAAACCCTATTTTTTTAATTCCTATTAATATTAGTTTTGTGTATATATAAATCATGTTCCCTAACACTTGGAAATAGAGCTAACAAGCAACAAAAACTGTCCTAGACCTTTAGACAAAATCTCCAATTATATTCCCTCTTTTTTAAAAAAAAAATTATGGAGTGTGAAAATTTCCAACCAAATTACATTAATCCATATATTGAGTATAGCAACTTAGAGACCACATTTTCTTGGAATAATCCTAGTATTATTAACCCTCAATGTTCAATCCAAGATTTTGTAACTATTGTTAATGATGTTGACATACTAGACTATTTCCAAAATGACTTCGATTTCATCGATGGAGATGTAGACATCCCCCTTCAAAACACGCAACAAGAAATTATTCAGGGAGATACTGAACTCTCGAGAGAGAGTCAAAAATCACGTGTATGCAATCCACGTCTTGAATTCCTTCAAGATCACCTCATGGAGGAAACAAGTGTAACTGATCTTCTTCTTATGGGAGCTGAGGCTATTGAAGCTAGAAATCTTGATCTTGCTTCTATAGTTGTTTTGAGGCTTAATACAATACTTTCTAATCAAGAAAACAGAGAAAATTCCCCTGTTGAAAGATTGGCTTTGTATTTTACTCAAGCCTTGTTATGCAAGACCTTGAATAATTCATCACATGAATTGTTGAATCAAAATCAATATCAATATCAATCTGAGTTTACGTCTTCAATGACCGCGTTCCAAATGCTTCAAGAAATCTCCCCTTATGTTAAGTTTGCTCATTTCACCGCGAATCAAGCGATCCTTGAAGCAACAAAAGGGAGTCAACAAGTTCATATATTGGATTTTGACATCATGGAAGGCATTCAATGGCCTCCTTTGATGGTTGATTTGGTTGAAAGAGGAAACACAAATTCTTCTCTAAGGATCACATCACTTGTTAGTGATCATTCAAACTCATGTCATGTACAAAAGACAGGCAAAAGACTTCAAGAATTTGCTAATTCTATCAATCTTCCTTTCATGTTTGATCAAATCCTCTTAGAGGACTTGGAAAAAATACAAGTTGTTGTTGAGGGTCATAACAACTTAATAGCTAATGTTATGATCCACCAACTTCACATGCCACAAAGGGGAAGTTCACTAGTCAAGACATTTTTCAATGGACTAAGAAAATTGTCCCCTAAACTTGTTGTCTTAGTTGAAGAAGAGCTCTTCAATTTATCAAAAATCTCATCTATGTCATTTGTTGAGTTCTTTTGTGAGGCTTTACATCATTACACAACAATATATGATTCAATTCTTGGAGGTTTTGGTGGAGGATACAAGTTAGCATTAAGGGTCATTGAGAAAGAATTTTTAAGAGTTAGAATTTTGGACTCATTAAGACAATTCCCTAGTGAGAAATTAGAAAGGGAAAAATGGAGTAAAGGGCTTTATTCATTAAAAGGTTTTAGACAAATTCCAATGAGTTCAAGTAATGTGAGACAAGCTAAGCATTTGGTGAGTTTGTTTAGTGGAGGGTATTGGGTGCAAAATGAACAAAACAAATTGGCTTTGTGTTGGAAATCAAGGCCTTTGACAAGTGCTTCCATTTGGGTTCCTACATCATCAAGTTCTAGTCCTTCAAGTTCAATATCTTTTTAAAATTTTTGTAGTATAAATTTTGGAACATTAAATTTCATGGGAATTAGTTAGATTTGGAGGTTATTGAAATATTACAATGTAAATATAGTGAAGTTAGTTTTGGGAAATATTGAGTTAATGAGATTGTATTTCTTGATTATCATTCTAATTTCTAAGTGGGTTGTTAGCTTGCAATCTAGTGATATATTATGGTGTTTTTGCTACGAAGAAACATATTTTTCTCGAAAATAAACAGATCGCCTAAGGGTATGGAGTAGGGGGACAACGGCTATGGGATCCGAGTGTGTACTTGGAAAAAATAACAACAATAACAAAAATAAATCTTGTGTAGTTCACGAGTTGGAATTGAGATATATACACAATCTTAGCCTTGCCTTTGTGGAGCAGAAAGAATGTTTTCGATTGATAATCCCTCGACTCAAAAGAGGAATATTCGAAGTATGGTTGCAAGAAAATAAACAACAAATGGAGAAAGTATTTTTAATTTCTTTTTACTAATTAAACATGAGAAAATTATAAAATATTTTTCTCTGTACCGAACACACCCTTAATACTAATGTCTATTCCCTAACATTTATTTAGCATTCATGAGGTGTGTTACGAAGATCCGACTCCTCTTCATTGTAATTGTCATTTTCTCATGTACAACTGAGCAACAGTTGTCATATTAAAATTTAAAGGTCTAAATAAAATTAATTTAACAAGAACTTGGATGTTTCCATTAAATCAATAAATACAAAAAAAAATGTATTTTGAATATAGACATTTACCACTTAATCATGATTAACATGCTTTGTTTGGTGATCATGGTTAACAAGATTTCCTTGATCAACATTGGGCTAAAATTAATGGGCTTAGTTTATTTAAAACATGGGCTGGGCCAATAGGATCCTCACCTTAGAGAAAGCTAATCGGGCGAACTGCGAAGTGCACAAATATATACATACATATACATATATAAAAGAGCAAATTTTAGGAATAGCGAACATAAAATTATATTAGAGCTCTATAACTACAGTTTTGTTATTTGCGATATTTGATTTGTATAAAATCACAGCGATTGTATATGTATATCGGTTAGATAATTGTATATATGTAACTACTATGTATATGTATCAATGATTGTGTTTGTATATCTGCATAAAATTTGAATTTGTGTACAATTGAATCGAGTTAAAATATTTGTAGTTGTATACCAAATCTCTCTCTCTCGCTTTATACAAACACAAATTATATATTGTATTTTGTTTAATTTGTGTTTGTATAAAGCGAGAAAGAGAGAAAGACAAAAGAGAACTGGGCAGGGGGAAGATTTATATTTGTATAATTAGCTAGCGTTTGGTCATAGATTTCCAAATATTCTTGGCAAATATTATTTGGTGAAATTTCACTATGTGTTTGACCATAGTATTTGTGAAATATATTTCACTTTTTAGAAAAATATGATTTATACCCATAAGTTTTAAAAACTATCAAAACTAACCATAAGCTTGTATTACAAGTCAATTGGATCTTCGTTGCAACAAATAACAAGTAGTGTCCATGCCACTAGAGCAATGTGATAGTTTGGAGTGAGTGCAACAAGCATCATTCCATACATCGTGAAGTAGACAAAGCACATGACTTTGCTACCTTGAGTCGATTGTTCATCATTTTCATCAACAACCATATCATCACTTTCATATTCACTGAATATTTCATCACTACTTTGGTATTCACGTAAAAAATTATGTAATACAACGCAAACAACTACTATAGAGGGTGTTTTTGTAAAAGATAAAAGTTTGGTATAAAATTTCAATTTTCAAAAGATCCCAAATAATGAGATTTGGCCCAAATACTAGTATTTGGAAATTTGGGATATTTGCCAAATAATGACAAATTGTATGGACAAACACTATTTGCCAAATTTTGCCCCAAATATTATTTGGGAAATCTATGGCCAAATGTTAAATAAGTGTGTAGGATGAACAAATATATATTTGTATTTGTATATACAGTTCTCTTTCGCTTTATACAAACACAATTTATATATTTGTGTTTGTATAAAGTGAAAGAGGCGAGCCAAAGAGTGACGAGCGAGATTCAGGAGAGAGACGAATGACAAAAAGTTGATTTACCATTTTTCTCATATTATTTGTGTACCTTGGTGGTCGATGAAGAAACAAAACTAGCTTGGATCTTATACATATATTTTCTAGATAGTGATTGCCCGCTTATAGTCAAAGTTCATTAAAATGTACTAGTCGTGAAATTTATCTCTTGGGAGTCATCAGTTAGGTGGAGATTTGGTGTTTATTCGTAGTCATTTATCACATTATTATTTCTCATTTGCTATATATGCCATATTTTTTGTTTAGTAGATATTAGTATAAAATAGAAAAATATTGAACAACCTTTAAACATGAAGGACTATTTTGTATATAAATATTTTTCCCACATGATTCTCATTTATCTCTTCCTTTACTTTTTCTAATAATTTTATGCACCACCTACTTCTACGAATAGTATAAACAGCGGTAGAATCTGTCTATCGGAGAAGAGAAAATTGAGCTCCCGGCCGCCTCCTCTCTCACCGCCGCACACACAGTGTTTCCAGGTACATTAACCCTATAATTGTCTTCTTCTTCGGAAATTTATTTTTAGGGATTTGCGCCTAATCGTTAAATAAAGGTATGCGGATTTCAGTGTATTTGAACTGATTATTGTATGTTGTTGGTAGTTATATGTTCAGTTTTAATTGTATGAAATGTCTCTGATTCTACTGCTATTACCTGTTTGATGAAATGCCAATTAGAGACCGATTTAGACAGTATATGCTAAGTTTTGTTGTGGATTTTGAATTACATATATTAGGTTAGTAGCTCATTCGTTCGAGTCTTGAGGACAATAATCTTGAAAAAACATAATCAGTTATGGTATAGATAGCTTGGGCAGTAGAGGTAGGTGAAGGGGATTTGCTCAAGAGTTACCTTCTTTTGTCATTCTTGTGCACTATTGTTTCAACAAATATGCCCACTATTGCAATTTGGAAAGAAATGAAGCCAAAAGCTGCTTTCAGTCCCAAAATTCGATGAGCTCGACACTTGTAGATAAGAAACATGCTTGGACGCATTTGTGGGTTGTAACAAGCTGTTTGGTAGATGAGTTGAGGTGCACCCAAACTGGCATGAACACCACTCTCAAACCAAGAGTTTGAAAGAAGAGCAATGTAATACTCTAACTCATAACTTCCCCCACGTTGTTTTCTGAAAAGAGAATGATCTCCTTTCCTACTATCTTGTTTACTTCTTTTAACCAGCCAATAAACAAAAAAATTTCTCTTTTACGTCTTTCCCAAATCCCCCTCTTTAAATTACTTTCTCCATTACATATCTTCCATTCAACTATCCCTTCTCTTTTCCCGTCTTCCTTCCCTATTTCACAACAATGCATAAGGTGTAAGAAATGAAGATTAAACTAAATGGTTAAAATGCATATCACCCAAGAATTCAACATTTTAACTACTTTGATAAGAAACTTTGATTCACATAACTCATAAGATAGCACCAACATCCTTAAGACATGCTAATGCATAACAAAATACTTTTGTCCAGGCAACTGACTTATAGTACTTCTAAACTCCTTTCACTGATCATACACAAAAAATGACAAATGACACCGACACTAGTTGTACGAATTTTTCAAAAATGTTATTATATCTATGTCGCATCTTCTAAGATAACATTACCATTGAAGGATCAAACACTTACCCATCGACAATTTTAAAAAATCCGAAGAATACATGATTCTAGTAATTGTTAGTGAGATCCCTTTTAGATTTGGTTCAAACTTAATTAGCCCAGGCTTTTAGGTTTCGTTTGAATTGAAGACAAGTTATGTTATTAGTTATGATGGGTTTAGTTATCTGGGTACTAAGGATTTGATTTATTGTATTAAAAATAACTTTTACTTACATGATTTCTAAGAAGCAATTATTTATTTATAAAAATACAATTTACCGTGAAAAAAAGATTTGAGGGACCTCAAGTTATTTTTATCATTTCATTATTTTATTTCATGATAATTTATTTCAAGATCAATAACCAAGCAAGAGTTAAAGACAATTCTAAATTTTTATTTCAAGACCATTTATAATTTAAAATTTTGAATAATGTGCTTATTTTAATTTACATTCAAATAAAAATAAATCAAACCCATCATAACATCTCAGAGTGTTCACCCGAACCTCCTTGGACAACCTTTAAACATGAAGGACTATTTTGTATATATTTTTCCCACATGAATCTCATTTATCTCTTCTTTTACTTTGTCTAATAATTTAGGCACCACCTACTACTACTACTAAACACAAATGATATAAACAACGGATTTTTTTTTAGAATCTGTCTATCGGAGAAGAGAAAATTGAGCTCGCATTTCTAGACAGCCACCTCCTCTCTTTCATGGTCGCGCACACACAGACACACTGTTTCCAGGTACATTAACCCTTTAAATGTCTTCTTCTTCTGGAATTTATTTTTAGGGATTTGCGCCTAATCGCGAAATATAGATATGCAGATTTCAATGTATTTGAACAGATTATTGTATGATGTTTAAGTTTCTGATTGACAAGTTATATGTTCAGTTTTAATTGTATGAAATGGCTCTGATTCTACTGCTATTACCTATTTGATGAAATGCCAATTAGAGACCGATTTAGCCAGTATATGCTGAGTCTTGTTGTGAATTTTGAATTACATATGAGTTGTTTTAATCTATTGGTTTAGTAGCTTACTTTTGCTCCCTCTGCTTTAATTTGTTTGTGTTACTTTCCTTTTTATAACTTTGTGACAATTAAGAAACTTTGCTCTTATTGATGAACCTAGAGGGTTTCATTGGTATTTTTTGAATTTTATTAGAGTATCTTATGTATCTAATTTGATTGATTTCTTCCCAATTATGTTTTGAGGCTTTCTCAAATATGCTGGTTTTCAAGTATATTTTTCTTATGTGGGATA